CAAAGCCAGCGTCAGGAGACAGAGACAGGAAAGAAGACAGGAGGCTGGGGGAGGCAGGGGGAGGCTGAGGGGAGGAGCTGTCATTTCACTGCAGCCCAAGCACAAGCAGGTCCTCTGCCCCTTGCCAGAGCAGAAAGCCAGCAGCGTCTCTTAATAATCTCTCTCCCCAGCTACGGCTGTTTGTTTGTATTCAAACAGGAACATGATAACCGAGCTATAAGTAGCTCCATGCACAGCTGTGCAAGGTAGGCACTGGGGCAACTGGATGTGGTCCCTGGAGGGAGCGCCAAGGTCTCCCGTGTGCCTGAGGCGAGGGCGAGGGCGAGGGCTCGGCCCTGTGTGGACAGCGCAGCTGGAAGTGATGCAGCCACTAAACAGGAGCTGGTGCGTCAGGGCCTGAGCTCACCTGGGATAAGCGGCCCTAATCTGGGCTCCACGAGCCACGTGGCCCACGCCCATGGCCTGGCAGCAAATGCGTTCTGAGGCGAGCTTGCTGGTCCGGCCTGCAAAGGCACCTTCTGAGCCTGCCGGGGCCTGGCTGGGAGGAGGCTGCCTGTTGGAAGCCAACCCGTGCGGGGCTGGTTCTGGCCCCAGCCCTGTCTTGCCGTGAGACCTCGGCCAAATCATTTCTAGTCTCTAGGTCTCAGCACTAAAGATCTAAGTTACTTCACTAGGGGAAATATCAGAATTTTTATCACATACCAAGAAATGGATGTTTCCAGACAGTAATAAAAACTCTAATAGAAAATTTGATGTGATTGTCTAATGAATCAACAAATCCCAATAAGCTAGTCCTTTTTTGTTTTTAAAGATCTATTTATTTATTTGAAAGGCAGAGTTACAGAGAGAGAGAGAGAGAGTGAGAGAGAGAGAGAGAGAGAGGGAGAGAGAGATCCTCCATCTGCCGGTTCGCCCCCCCAGATGGCTGAAACATCTGGGGGTGGGCCAGGCCAAAGCAGGGAGCTTCATCTGGCTCTCCCAGGTGGGTTGTAGAGGTCAAATTACTTGAGTCATCTTCCACTGTTTTCCTAGGTGCATTAGCAGGGAGCTGGATCAGAAGTAGAGCAGCCAGCAGGACTCCAACTGGTGCTCCTATGGGATGCTGGTGTCGCAGGTGGCTGCTCAACCTGCCGCACGGCAACACCGGCCCCCCAATAAGCTATTCTTACAGGATAGTGTGGGACAAAGGCATTGGTAAAGTTGTAACAATTCTCTGAGCCTCTATTTTATCATCAACAGAATGGGTTCTGTGTGACCCTGTGTCTGACCTCCCAGATCCCTGCGTATCAAGTGGGGCCTGGCCTGGCCTGGGTGTCTCTGGTGCTGAGCGCTGTCCTCCCCTGACCTGCCCGCAGGCAGCCTCCACACGGCCTGGCTGCGTTGTTGGTTCTGCTCTTCCCACGTGCCCTTCTCTTTCCGATTTGTTCCCAAGCCCCGTTTCCCCACGTTTGCTCTTTCCCTTCTCAGCCGTGGTTCTGGCTTCCCAGCCTGGTAAGCAGCCACCTGGTCCATACAGGGACCCGCCTTCCTGATCCAGGAGAGGGGCTCTCGCGAGCTGGGACCTTCCCACCAGCCTCAGTTGCCAACAACCAGCAAGTCCGTGCTCTTTTGCAGAACTAACGGACTGAGACTTAAAGACAGGAGACTGTCCTGGGACGCTTTACACAACCTCAAGCAGTAGCCTTCCACTGGCCAGACTGTGGGGGTCCCCATCCTAACTCTCGCTCTCTGCCAGGCTTTGGCGAGGCCATTCAATCTCTGAGCTTTGACTGTTCACCCATTTAAAAAAGAAATACCTACCACATAGCATTGCTGCAAGTTTTTAATTTTTTTATTTTTAATGATTTATTTGATTTTTTTTTGAAAGGCAGAAAGAGAGGGAGAGATCTCTCATTCCCTGGTTCCCTCCTTACATAACTGTAACAGCCAGGCCTGTTGCAAGCTGAAGCCAAAAGCCCGGAACTCTACCTGCGTCTCCCACAGGGGTGGCAGGTGTCCAAGTACCTGGGCTGTCTCCCACCACCTTCCCAGGTGCATTAGCAGGGCGCTGTATCAGAAGCAGACTGGCACTCTGATATGGGATGCCAGCACTGTAAGCCATGGCTTAAGCCTCTGAGCCACAGTGCCAGCCACGGTGCTCGGCACACGAGAAGGGCTCAATAGTTATGGTGTGACATTACGTAAGTGACGTTAATGCATTGATAAGTGAATCAATGAATCGAAGGTTGTCCTGGTTTATATTCAGGGCCTGCTGTGGTTTTGATCATATGACCCCACAAATAAAAGTTCTCTCAAGCACCTATCTTTTAAAAGCAAGAAACAAATGAATTTTCTATTTTAATCTAGGAGAGATTAGCGTGAGAGAAGAGTTCCATTTTAGCTCGCTGTGTAGACACCATCCACAGAACGCACGAGTCGAAGACATCTTTGTGAAGTCAGTCTTATTTATGGTAAACCACCTGAAATCCATTACAAGCCTAAGTCAGCGATCATTTGTAAAGAAATTCAGTTTCATTTCCCCAAGGACGTAGCGTAGCTAAGTTCACCCAGCCTCAGAGAGGCTTGGATCGATGGGTCACTAACTGAGGAAGAATTCCAATCTCCATGCTGGCTAAAAGCCCTTGAGCCGTTGTCTTTTTTGAGCTGACCCCTGTTATGAACGTTCTTGGTAAAAGTCATTTCTTTCTGCCAGTGCAGGGGGGTTGGCTCTGCCTTTACTGAAGATGCGCCTATTTCCAATTGGCAGCATCCGGATTCATGGTTTTGCAGTAGGGATGGAGAGGAGGCCGGAGCAGCTCTGTTTTACCCAGAGCGTTGCTTCCGGGGGCTCCAAATGAGCCGCTGTGGGTAGTAAGGCCGCGGCCAACAGCTGAGCACTCGCCTTACTCCGAGGTCTTCGTAGCAAGGGGAGGGGAGGAGTACTCGGACACCGGTTTTAGAGGAAACGCAGCACAGAGAAGTTAAATAACTTGCCCGAGTTTCTACACCAACGCGAGTGGTGACGTTGGCCCTCGGAGCCCTGGAGTGAGGCCGTCCCTAGGGGTAGAGGAGTCAAGTCACGGCCCCTGGAACTTAGGGAGGGGGTACTGCTCAGCTGCCCCACGTCGCGCCTCGCTGGGCGGAAGGCGGCCTGAAGACGGGGAAGCTGACTTCGACGTCCACAGTGGCGAGCCGGAGGCGGCCGTCGGGGCCCCAGCCAAGCACTACCCAGGGAAAGGGTGCTGGTGGCTGAGGAATGTGGGCACCCAGACTCCCCAGCGCCCAGTGGCTGCCGTGGACCCCTGTGCCTGGTCAGCCCATCATTACGACAGAGTCCCGGCTCCTCGGATGGGAGCGAGAAACACCATATATTTATTTGCTCTCTCCCCTATTGGGGGTGGCAGCCCCTGGTGCCCCATGATGGCCAGGACATCAGTGCTGGGACAGGTGCTGGAGGTGATGCCCAGTGCCTAGCAGACCTGGTGCTAGGGACAGTGTCCAGGGACAGCAGCAGCACCACTCCTTGGCTGACCTTGGCAGTGGTGCGAGCTGATTGGCTGCCCCCCATGTCACCGAATCTGGGCCTGGCCTCCAGGCTTCCCTCAGATCCCACCCTGGAGACCCCTTTTCTGTCCAAGCTAGCCAGAGTCATTTCCACTGTTGTCTGTGCTCTCCCCAGGAGAGGGGCAGGCCTGTCTGCCAGGCTGCACTTTCTATGACTTCACTCACTGAAACTCAGCCACGCCTGGGTAAGTGCGCCGCACACAGCATCAGCCATGACTGGAGCTGGTGGGAGGGTGATCACAGGCACCATGGCGGCAGCCAGTGTAGACCACCAGCTGATGCCCCAACCCTGGTTCTCCGCTATCCAGTCTCCTCTGAATCCTGTGAATTCCCATGTGTCACGTTTGGGGGACAAATTGGAGCTCTGGCCAACTCGAGTGTCCTGGTCTACTTGCAACCAGGTTTCTTGTTCCACACCACTAAGTTGGCACCCTTGTTTTCTACAGCTAGCCTGTATGAGTTGGGCTAATGTGAGTCTCCCTCAGCATTTCAGTAAGTCGAAACGCTTCTTTCACTTAGTGCAGTGCCTTTGAGGCGCATCAGAGTTGGAGCACCTGTCAGTGTTTCCTACCTTTCGATGTCTGAGCCACAAGCCACATTGTGTTTAACCGTTCATCCATTGAAACCTACACATTGCTGCTCTGACCCAGAAGTAGGGCGCTGGGCTTCTCCTTGTCCAGTGTTCCCCAGGAGGGGTCTCAAGCACCCCAGGTAAGCCCCCTGGTCTCCACGAGCCTGCGATGAAATGCTAATCTGATTTCCTGGCGTGGCTGTGCCTGGCGGCAGGGGTCAGGGGCTTCTGTAGAAGCTTTCAAAGGCTCTGCCACTGCAAAGGACAAGAAAGAAACTCAGGCAAAGGGTGGCTGAGTGGTCGTGATTGGCTCAGTCCCAGGAGGTGGGCGGGCACCAGCAGGAGGGTATCTGAGTGGGTCCGCAGGGCCTCCTCTCCCCAGGAGGGGGGCAGGCCTGTCTGCCAGGCTGCACTTTTTATGACTTCACTCGTTGAAACTCAGCCACGCCTGGGTAAGTGCTCCGCACACACCATCAGCAGGTGCCAGACCGCGCGTCAGCGCCTTCCCACAGTTTTCTTTGACCTTCCGTACCCCAACTCTGGAGCTGCCCCAGGTGCGTGCCGAGAGCCCTGTGAGCGTTGGACTCCTTTCTAGAGAGAACGGTTTGTTCTCGGCTCTAACACAGAAAGGGCAAGTGAGTGATTCCTGGCACCGAGCTCCCTGGCCAGGACAGCCCCGTGTCTGCCGATGTGGCCAATCAGATGGCAGGGGCCATGTTCGTTTGGATAAGCCTTTATTGAAAGGAGCCCGTTGTGGAATAATGGGGAAATCCTGTGTGAAAGGCCCTGGGGGGGCTGGCCCGGGAAAGGCGGATTCCACGTGGGCAGGAGCCTTGTCTAATCACGGCACGGCCGCGGGCCAGGTATGAAGCACAGCTGGTTTGGGCCGGTGCGAGGGTGGAGACAGGCTGTTTGCTGGGCTGGCTGAGGTCGGTCAGCACTCAGTACAGACCTCGCAGGCTTCTGAATGGAGGAGGAGAAAGTCCAGTTGGTGGAAGGCAGACTTTCCGTGGACTCCCAGCCTCCAACGTCAGGACCAGCCCCGAACGTGAGTAGAAGGCAGAGCTGTGCAGGCCTTGCTTTCTGGTCTGGGGAAAGCCTGAGAGGGGGTCGTAGCAGAATTGCCTAGAAGATTCCAGATCAGCCAGGCCTTCCCTTTGAGGTGTTGATAGATACGCTTTACTAGAAGGAGTGTGGCCTTCCTCTTTCATCTGCTTGTTTGTTAAAACAGGTAGGTCGGATTTCCTGGATTTTAGTAGGATTGTGGAATTCAGTCTGGGTAATGAGCACCCAAACATAGCACGATTCTGAACCTTAGGAAATTCTGGTTTCTGAAGGTTCGGACAGACAGATGTCAGAAGTTACAGCAAGTGATAGGGCCATAAGATCCCAACACTCAACATGATTTTCCAATGAGGAATCAGCTTCCAAATGAAACGGGAGTGATCAACTTTAAATAAGGCAAGATTTGTGCATTCTGTAAGAGCATGTGAGTGTGTGTATGTGTGTGCCCATAGCAGATGGCAAGCAGAGATTAAGGAATTGTATCCTTTTCATTAAGGGGTTGGGAGTGAGAGCATTGAACTTGGGGTGACATCGCGGTTTTCTGTATGGAGGCATTTTAATCGGGCTGCTAGAAAGAGCCGGGCTTTCCTAGTGCTTGCTCCGTGCCACAGACCCCGGGGGCTGCGTGGCAATCTTGGTTGGGTGAATAAGTGGATCAAGGTGCGACTTCTCCGTTTCCTGAGGAAATGCTATGAGGAAGGCCGGATTGCCATGGAAGAAATCCCAGTGTCAGAGGCAGGTGGCTGCGGTCTGTGTCCGGCTTTTGCCCTCCCAAATTGGGTCTTTGGCAAGCTCCTTACCTTCTCCAGCCTCCATTTCCTGCCGGCAATAGATTGATCGCCTCTAAGGCTCAGGCTTGAGACCATGGTCAATATCAGAGTTTCTGTAACTTCATCCGTTCATGTAGGAAACGTGAGAGCAATAGTGCCCGTCCCACGCAGGTCGCAGAGTCTCGTGCACTTGGTTGCGTGGTGCTGGGCTGCTCTGTGAACGGGACGGGATGCATCCCGATTATGCTGCTCTTGCTGCACCAGGTCCCTCCCTGAGCCCCAGGAGAGCACTCTCGTTGTCTCGGCGGCTTCATGTGCTCCTACATCCCGTGTCTGACCCCAACTCCCCATTCTGCTAGGCCAGGAAACCCGGGTGCCTTCAGAAAACCACGTGCAGAGTGAGACTGAGCTGATGAAGCAAGTGTGTAGAGTGACACATACGAAAAGCATATGTTGTTGAGAGATGGATTTCACGCCTCCCGCTGTCACCAACAGTGGGGACCAGCCCTGGCAGGACAGGACGCAGCAACCCCGGGATGAGTGGCTTGCTCCGCGCCGAGGCGCATGGGCCCCTTTGCCACGCCTCCGTGTGTGCACACCGATGGGAATGCTGGCGCTGCCTCTCACACTCGGGAGCAAACTCGTTTTTCAGAAATGTCTGCCAAGCTCGGGTGGGGAATACAAACAGTAGCCCGTACCGGGAGCGGGTTCTGGGTGGCAGAGCGCAGAACGACAGCCCTCGCAAAGCTGTTTTCCGGGATGCGGCTGCGGAGAGGCGCACTTCCCAACATCTGGCTTTTGAGTTTGGGGAGATGAGTTTGGGGAAAAGCCCTGGTGCCTCTTCCACGTTCCCGATGTTTACATCCTTTTGTCTCTTCCAGTCGCCTCCGACAAAATCCCGAGGGCCGTGGGGCACCCCGAATCACCATGGGCAATGAGAACAGCACCAGCGACAACCAGGTGGGTGGCAGGAAGCTTCTCCCCGGGCCGCTGAGGCTCTTGGGGCTGGCCTCGGCTCCCGCACCCCTTCCTCGCAGCACCTCGTCTCTGCACGAGAGGGAGCAGGCTGAGACGCAGCCCACGCCTGGTTGTGTGCCCCGGAGAACGCAGCCTGGCTGTGCTTTATAAGCCACAAACACTACTTTTACTTTTTATTCCCTGCCTTTAAAATGCACAGCTTGGGAACTTGGCACATTGCTCCTTGGTTGTGTCTCTCTGTAAACTTTCTGACTTGGGTTTGGTAGAGGAGGCTAAACCGGAGCCTTTTCTGTATTCATCCTCCAAATGAAGTTATGACCGTTAGAAAAATGATTGAAAAATCTATCAACCGGAGTTGAGCAGACTAAACATGACCTGCGGTTTTTACATCAGGCCAAGGGTTTCATGGTATGGAACGGGTACGGTGCATCAGCCTGGGATCTTAAAATATAATCAGATTTTATCACTGTCTATGTCAACTTTGGGAGTTTTGACTTAGCACTCTGGAAAATAAAACCAGGGAGACACTTTCCCATTCATGTCCCACGAAGTGTGTGGAAAACGTGGATTAATGGTATTAATGGGAAAATCAGGTCCAAAATTGGAGCCAGCCTACCGTGACCTGCTCTCCCCTTGCCTTTTTTTTTTTTTTTTTTATTCCCTGTTGTCCTATTTTCTCAGGAGCAGGAATTGTGCAAAGAAAAGGTGGCAAATGCCAGGCGTGTTAGGGGCAGGCAAGAAATAATGAGTGTTTCAAGTGCCTGGGTGCGAGGCACTACAGAGAGGTGGAGACTACGTGCTCAGGGGAGTTCTTGTCCCTTATCTGGGGGAAGCTGCCATCATCAGCTCCAGCTGATGGTCACCGAGGGAGAGCGTGGGTTCCATGTTCCATGATTTTCCTAGTTCTTCAAAAGAAGCCAGGAACCTGTATTTTTCTATGAAGTCTTGCATTTTTTTAAATTGTTAAACTTTTTATTTTGAGGTAGATTCATGTGCTGTCTTAAGAAATAACAGATAGAGCCGGCGCCGTGGCTCAATAGGCTAATCCTCCACCTTGCGGCGCCGGCACACCGGGTTCTAGTCCCGGTTGGGGCGCCGGATTCTGTCCCGGTTGCCCCTCTTCCAGGCCAGCTCTCTGCTGTGGCCAGGGAGTGCAGTGGAGGATGGCCCAGGTGCTTGGGCCCTGCACCCCATGGGAGACCAGGAAAAGCACCTGGATCCTGGCTCCTGCCATCGGATCAGCGCGGTGCGCCGGCTGCAGCGGCGGCCATTGGAGGGTGAACCAACGGCAAAGGAAGACCTTTCTCTCTCTGTCTCTCTCTCTCACTGTACACTCTGCCTGTCAAAAATAAGAAAATAAAAAAAAAAAAAGAAATAACAGAGAACCCCCATGTACCCTTCGCTTAGTTTTCCTTTTAAAATGATGAAAGTCTTAGATAAAACTTTTTCCTCTTGAAACTATAGCACAGTATCACAGCTTAGATACAGACATCGGGGCCATCGGGATTGCAGAATGTTTTCAATTCCAGAGTCATCTTGTTCCCTTCTTGTAGCCACACCTCCCTCTCATTCCCCACCCCTAACCCCAGCAACCACTGCTCTCTGTTTCTATAATTCTGTCATTTCAGTTATGTCATATACATGGAATCACACAGTGGGTGACCTTGGAGGACTGGCATGATTCTCTTGCAATTCATTCAAGCTGTTGGGTGTATCTACAGTTCATTTCTGTTTCCAGTTGAGCGGTGTTCCAGGGTGTGGATGTGTGGTAGCTGGTTGAACCATTCACCCATGGAAGCACAGCTGAGTTGTTCCCAGTTTCGTGCTATTACAAACAAAGCTGCCGTGAACATTTGTGTGCAAGCTGTTTTGTGAACGCGCATCTTCCTTTCTCCAAGATAAACGCCCAAGAGTGCAGTTACTGGATTGCGTGACTGTTCATGTTTAGTTCTATAAGGAGCTGCCCAGCTCTCGGGCAGAGCTGCTGAACCATTTCACAGCCCCACCAGCAATTTATGAGTGGCCCAGTTTCTCTGCATCCTGGCCTACATTGACTGGATGGTGTTGCTAGTTGGTGTTGCCATTCTTTTTTTTTTTTTTTTAATCTATTTACAGAATTACACAGAGAGAGGAGAGGCAGAGAGAGAGAGAGAGAGAGAGAGAGAGAGAGAAAGAGAGGTCTTCCATCCTGTGGTTCACTCCCCAATTGGCCACAAAGGCCAGAACTGTGCCGATCCGAAGCCAGGAGCCAGGAGCTTCTTCCAGGCTTCCCACATGGGTGCAGGGGCCCAAGGACTTGGGCCATTTTCTACTGTTTTCCCAGGCCATAGCAGAGAGCTGGATCGGAAGTGGAGCAGCCAGGATTAGAACTGGTGCCCATCTGGGATGCCGGCGCTTCAGGCCAGGGCGTTAACCCACTGTGCCACAGTGCCAGCCCCAGTGTTGCCATTCTTAGAGCTGTCTTGTGATGTCTTATTGTGATTTCAATTTGCATTTTTTTTTATTTGACAGGTAGAGTCATAGATAGTGAGAGAGAGAGACAGAGAGAAAGGTCTTCCTTCCATTGGTTCACTGCCCAAATGGCTGCCACGGCCAGTGCTGTGCTGATCCAAAGCCAGGAGCCAGGTGCTTCTTCCTGGTCTCCCATACAGGTGCAGCAGCCCAAGCACTTGGGCCATTCTCCACTGCCCTCCCGGGCCACAGCAGAGAGCTGGACTGGAAAAGGAGCAACCAGGACTAGAACCTGGGGCCCATATGGGATGCCAGTGCTGCAGGCAGAGGATTAACCAAGTGAGCCATGGCGTCGGCCCCCTCAATTTGCATTTTGGTGAAGCGTAATGACATTGAACAATTTCCATGTGTTATTTTCCATCTGTATATTCTCTTTGATGAAATACTTGTTCATGCCTTTTGCCCATTTTGTAGTTGGATCATTATTACTTACTATTCAGCTGTTATGTTTGAGGATTCTTTATACTCACTTGGTCTTTTTTTTTTTTTTAAAGATTTATTTATTTTACTTGAAAGAGTTAAACAGAGAGAGGAGAGGCAGAGAGAGACAGAGAGGTCTTCCACCTGATGGTTCACTCCCCAATTGGCCACAACAGCCAGAACTGTGCCAATCCGAAACCAGGAGCCAGGAGCCTCAAGCCTCTTCCGAGTCTCCCACGTGGGTGCAGGGGCCCAAGGACTTGGGCCATCCTCCACTGCTATCCCAAGCCACAGCAGAGAGCTGAGCGGGAAGTGGAGCAGCCGGGACTCGAACCAGCGCCCATATGGGATGCTGGTGCTTCAGGTCAGGGTGTTAACCTGCTGCGCCACAGCACTGGCCCCAACTCACTTGGTCTTGATACCAACCCTTTGTCAGATCATGATTTGCAAGTATTTTCTCCCATTCCATAACTGGCTTTTCTGTCTTCCTCACAGTATTTTTAATTTTGAGGAGGCACAATGTATTACATTTTATTTTTACAGAGAGTTGAAGAACTTTTTGCCTACAGCCTGGAGATTTTTTTTCTAAGACTTTTAAATTTTATATTTGAGTCTGGGCTACTTTGAGTTAATTTTTGTACAGAAATATTAGTCTAACTTCTGCTGCCATAACAAAATACCACAAGAGATTTCCATCTTCCTTGTCCTCACACGTGCAATAGAGGTTAACTTGGCTCCCAGCTCTAGAGCTGAGAATTCTGAGAGCACAGCACTGGCTTCCGGTGAGGGCCTCGATCCGCAGCACCACGGTCAGGAGGGCAAGCGAGAGCCGTGAGACAGAGCCAAAGGAGCCCAGCTCCCTCCCTGGCCAGCCCACTCCCCAGTCATGGCTTTAATCCATTCACAAGCAAAGAGCCCTCATGGCCTAATTGCCAATTAAAGAGTATTTATCTCAAAGGGAGAAAGAGATTGAGATCTTCTATCCGCTGGTTCACTCCCCAAATGGCTACAACAGCTAGGGCTGGTCCGGCACGAACCAGGAACCTGGAACCCCAACAGGGTCTCACACGTGGGTGCGGGGGGCCCAAGTACTTGAACCATCATCAGCTGCTTTCCCAGGCACATTAGAAGGGATCTGGATCAGAAGTGGAGCAGCCAGGCCTGAAGCCTGCCTTCCATTATGGAATGCTGCGATTTGACCAACTGTGCCTCAACACCAGGCCCTTTTCCCCACTTAATACTGGCACAACGGCAATTTCATCTCCATATGGATTTTGAAGACGTCAAACCATAGCAGGGTAGAAGATTTGGATTCATTTTTCTTTCTTTGAAGACTACTGTCATAGAGCAGGTTTGCATTCACAGCAAAATGGAGAGGAAGGTGCAGCAATTTCCGTATTCCTTACCCTCACACGTGCGTAACCACCCCCACTGGGTGCATCCCCACCAGGGGGCACGTCTGCTTCCCCGATGAACCTCCATGCCACACCCTGCCACCCACTAACCTGAGGTGTACGGGGAGGCTCACCCTTGGTTTCACACACGTGCTCTCTAGCGCTGTATAGAGGACTGTAACTGCCCTATAGACCCTCTGTGCTTTGCCTATTCAAACCCTGACACCCACTGATCTCCCCACTGTTGCCGTAGGTTTGTGTTTTCCATAATGTCGTGTAGATGGTGTGAAGTTCTTTCCAGAGGAACGGCTTTCATTTCGTGATGTGCATTGAAGGTTCCTTCATGTCTTTTCATGGCTTCACAGTTCATGTCTTTTTTGAGCTGAATAACGTTCCATTGTCTGCAGTACCACAGTTTATTTATTAAGTAACATCTTGGCTGCTTCCAAGTTTTGACAAGTATGAATAAAACTGCTATCCACATCCAAGTACGAGTTTTCCTGTGGACGTATGTTTTCAGTTGCCTTGGGTAGATGCCAAGGAGCGAGGTCACTGGATCACATGATGAGAGTATGGTTGAGTTTTGTAAGAACCTGCCAAACTGCCTTCCACGATGGCTTCACCAGCCTGTATCCCCACTAGCGGTGAATGCCATCCTCCCCAGCAGCTGCTCTCATCAGTGCCTGGGCCGTGGCCATCCTGAGGTGTTGGCTGTGTCTCATCGTTGTCTGGCATGGGGCAACTCACTTTCCCTCTGTGTGTCCCCTTGGGTGTAGTGTCTGGGATGGTCTTCAGCCCATTTTGAAATTAGGTTGTTTGCTTGCTTAGCGTTGAGGTTTTGTACATTTATTTTTTATTTGAAAGGCTGAGCGGAGAAAAGAGAGAGAGAGAATGAATGAATGAATGAATGAATGAATATCTTCGAAGCCAGGAGCCAGGAACTCCGTCTGGGTCTCCCATATAGGTGACAGGAACCTAAGTACTTGGGCCATCTTCCACTGCTTTCCCAGGCATATTAGCAGGAAACTGGATCTGAAGTGGAGCAGCCAGTACTCAAACTGATGTGTCAATATGGGATGCCGGCAACACGGGCGGCAGCCCGGCTCCCTGTGCCACACCACCCAGCCCCTTGTGTACATTTTAGATGACTCATTTTTCAGAGGTGTCTTTGACAACTATTTTCCCCCAGTCCATGTTCTCTTGAAGCCAGGGTTCGTGTCTCTGTGTTTCGTACTGTTTTGCCTGCTGCTGTCCATTATTCTGGTCCCACTGCTGAGAGGTCTACCCTTCCTCCATTGTACTTTGGTGAGAAATCAGTCAGGCACATCCGTGTGGGTCTGTTTCTGGGATTTCTGTCCTGTTCTATTGATTGTAGGAATGACTGTAGCTAAAGGAGGGGCTTCACACATGGAATTAAAAGTAGGTTCTTTTTGGTATAAAAGTTCTGAAATATGCGCAGAGTTTATTTCACAATATACATTTTTCATGAATTTTAACACCTCTCACGTGCATGGATTCCAAAAGAGTTTTTGCCCCCAAGCTTATCTTTTGACCTTGTTTTCCATGAACTTTTTGAAGTACCCTCAAGTAAAGTGTCCTGAATCAGGTGTAATGATTCTCTCAGCTTCATCCTCTTCAAAATTGGTTCAGCTGTTCTGGGATACGTGGCTTTTCAAACACATGTTAGAATAAACCTAAGTCTGCATAAATCTCTCTGAGATTTCCACAGGAATTAGGTTAAATCTATAGATCAATTGGAGCAGAATTAGCTGCTGCCCTGTGTCGTGTCTGCGAATCCGTGAGTACACAGCGTGGCTGTCTCTTCGTTCAGTCCTTTGGTTTTTCATCAGCTTTCCCAATCTGTAGCATGCAGAGCCAGCACGGGTCCTGTCAAGCATAGCCTGAGTAGTACGTTTTCTTTGGAGTGACTGCAAATGAATTGGCATTTTTAACTCTGCTGTCCACACATTCATGGTTAGTGTATTGATTTCTGTGTACTGATCTTGTAGCCTGTGGCCGTGTAGAACCCACTTATTTGTTCCAAGGTTATTTTTGTTACTTCTTGGGATTTCCTGCGCATATTACCATGTTGCTTGTGAACGTGGACAGTTTTATTTCTGCTTTTCCGTTCTGCCTGCCTGCCTGCCTTTCCTGTCACCCCCTTATCTCGCTCCCCTTTTCCTCTCTCAGAGCAGCTATGTCTATGTCAACTAAGTCTATGTCAACTAAGAGCAGTGAGAATGGACGCTGTTCCCTGTTCCCAGTCCCAGGGGCAGGCACTCAGTCTTTCACTGTGAACTGAGATACCTTCAGCGGGTGGGTTTTTTTTTTGTTTTGTTTTGTAAATATTCTTTGTCAAACTGAAAAGTTCTTTCTATCCCATTGAACCCTTCTAGTCTGCTGAGAGTTGCTCATTTTTAATCACAGGAGGGTATTGGATTTTGCCGAGAGCTTTCTGTGCACCAGCCATTGTAATTGTTGCCAAACCACCCCGCAAACTAGTCGGAGGAGGCGCTATGGAGCCCCCAGATCCGGGCCGGCTCGCCTGAGGCACAGAAAGGCAGTCGCTGAGCCGGGCGGGGGAGGACTGTAGGTGTTTGCTGCTCGGTGCAGAGCAAGCAGCCGGCATCTACCGCTCCACTCGAGGCTCCCTGAGGAGCTGGGGGAAGGGTGCTCTTAGACTGAAAGTGGGACTGGAGGGGATGTTCAGCCCGCACCCAAGTTCTGGTTGGTCAGTGAGCTCGTGACCTTCCTTTCATTGGCTGGTGGAGTCGTGCTCTCCAGGGAACCTCCCTGATGGCCGGTGGGCTTTAGCTGGTCTGGGGGTTCCATGAAAGTGGGAATTACCCTCTACGGAGACATGCAACTCCCCTGGCTAGACCTGGAGTTCCCCTGCGCAAACCCCTCGGGACATTGCTGGCCAACAGGGTTTTATCTGCTGGAGAAATGGATGACTTTTGAGTCCCGTGCCAGTTGCACCACCGCTCAATCCAGTGATTCCTTTTGGTGAGGGACAGGCAAGGACACCTTGGACTAAGGAGACAGAAGAGGAGGCTGGGTCCTGCCTTTCCTTTAGGGGGGTTGCTCTCCTGATCAGATGATCTCTCTTCCCTGGCCATCCGTGGGCTCGGTGGTGCTGGGGAAGTCTCGGATGTCCAGCCAGCCTGCTGTGCCGGGAATACGCCCCAGCTTGGCCATGGCGTGTCCTTTTTCTACACATCGTTAGATTTGGTTCACTGCTATTTTGTTGAGGACTTTTGTGTCTGAATTCATTAGAAAGACTGCTCTGGGGTTTTATTTTGGGGTCTGGGTTTGGTATCAGGATAATACCAACCTCACAAAGTGAGTTGGGAAGTGTTTCTTCCTATGTCCTAGAAGAGATTAAACAAGAAATCTTACATTTTAAAAAAAAGTGTTGGCAAGCAATTTCAATCACTTTTAACATTCTGTGGGCCAAGCCGTCGTGCCTGCTGGCTGGGGTTGGCTCAGGGCACCATCCTTGAACCTCCACTTGCGGGCTTGTTTGGTCTGTAGAGGAGGGCGGGGCCGTCGGCTGAGTGTTCTTCACCGGCAGCCACAGGAAAGGGGCCAGATGTAGTCGGGCCTTTGCTCCCTGCTTGTTACAAGCCAGGCAGCTCACTCTGACCCCGCGGTGATCTCACGGAGCCAGAGCCTGTCCTAAGCTCCGTTCTTGGGCATCTCCCGGGAGGCACGAGCATTCCAGGGTGATGTAGTGAGGGTGCTGGGCGGTTACACTGTGCTTGTACTTGGGCAGAAATCCATCTCGGCTCGTGCGAGGGTCCTGATCCCTTGGTCCATCCTAACAGTGAGACCCTTTGCTTTCAGCAGGAGGAAGCCGGCTCACATAGCGTCATCCTGTGGCCTCCAAACCCCGAGCCTCTACAGGTACTGGGCACGTGGCGCTCTGCATGCTTTGCCCCTTGGCCCCGCCCTAACCGCTGGGCGCTTGCAGAACGTGGCCCGGCAAGTGCATTTTGATATGTGGCTTTCTCCTCTCCCTCGCCCACCACCTCCTCCCGAAAGAAGTTGGAAACCAAGGTTGAAACTGACATTTAGACTTTTACAAATAACCTCTCTGTGTGCCTGCCGACAACTGGCTGAGTTGATGTGCTTTGCGATGCTGAGTGAAGTGTGTGTTGTTAAAAGAACGGGACACAGATGCTGAGAGCCAGCCTAACCCTCTCCAAGTCTCCTACTTTGATTTCCTTTATCCTGGAGTGTCTCTGGGAATAGGTGGCAGCCCCACTTCACTGCCAGTGAACAAAACTGATTTGTTATACAAAAGGATTAAACCCTGAATTGCTATGCTCTACTGCAGCGAGCTGAGTTTTGTAGGTTTTTCTTTTTCTTTTTTTTTTTTTTTTTGAAGATTTATTTGTTATTTATTTGAAGGGCAGAGTTACAGAGAGAGGGAGCGATGGATATCTTCCATCTGCTGGTTCACTCCCTAAATGGCTGCAATGGCCAGGACTGGGTCAGGCCAAAGCCAGGGCTCCTGTCTGGAAACAGGAGCCCAGATACTTGGGCCATCTTCCACATCTTTCCCAGGTACATTAGCAGGCAGCTGGATCAGAAGTGGAGCAGCTGGGTCTCAAACTGGTGCCCGTATGGGACGCCAGCATCCCAGGTGGAGGCTTAACCTGCTATGCCACGATGCCGGCCTGGAGTTCTGTAGTTTTAACTGTGCAGAGTGTTTGCTATGGACTGGGGAAGGGGTTCAGTCAGGAGCTTGGCATCTGTTTCACGTGGTTTTCCCTGCAGAGGATGTTGAGGTTCAATCCTGTTTTTGGGTGTGGTCAGGCGATACAGTGAAGCAATGGTTCTTCTGTGGCCTGCTCTGAAATCCCCGTCACACCTGGTGAGGTTCGCCCCAGGGGACGTGTTCTCTGTTGGGTCAGGGTTCCTGATGTGCGTGTTTCTTGTCCACTGTCAGCAAGGAGTGACATCTGAGGTTGTGAGGTGGCCACAGGCGACCATTTGCCTGGAGCATGGTGACGCCTCTGCAGGCCCGTGTTCTCAGGTGGCTCACCTGCCAACCCCGGGAGGCAGGCAGGCCCAGGCTGAGCAGTCTTGTCTGTGGGCAGAGGAAGCAGCTCATGAGGTCATCAGGGATTGTCTGGGGGAGGGGAGGGGTGAGAATCAGAGTCTCAGTGTCCAGGCGCCCAGTGATTTTCAAACTGGGTTCTGGTCTGGGCGGGGGAGCGCGCCGGCAGAGCTGAGTGGAGGAGAATCCTGGTTGCTGCTCCTCCTTTCTATGACCTCATATCGAAAGCTGGCCTCTGGAAGGAAAAGTTTTGGGATCAGAGTTGGAAATATACAAGGATCTGGTCCACCTCCATCCTTTTTAACAAACTTATTCAAGGGACAGAGGACAATAGACAGATGGAGAGCTCAGACTCCTGTTCACTCCCCAAATGCCTGCAAAGGCCAGGACTGGGCTGGGCTGAGGCCAGCAGCCAAGAGCTCAGCCCAGGTCTCCCACATGAGTGGCAGGGACCCAGCGACTTGGGCCATCACCTGCCGCCTCTTGGGGTCTGCACTGGGAGAAAACTGGGACTGGGGGCTAGAGTGTGGCAGGAATCCCAGGCACTCTGTTACGGAATGAGGGCATCCCAAGTGACGTCTTAACCATGGTCTGAATGCCCACCCCTTACCTCTCATTTTCCAGGGTTGTGTTTGATGGGCCAGAAGCTCAAGGCCCATGTTCACTGCCCTAAATCATGGCAGGTTCAGGGTAAGACCCCGTCTAGGGGTTCTAGACCAGGGCTGCTGAGGGGGCCCCTGCCATGGAACACTTTGTCTGCCTCAGAACTTTGCACAGAACCCTGCAACAGAGCCCCAAAGCTCCCACCCCAGGAACATTCGAGGAGCCCCACCCCGGCTTGGTCCTAGGAGCTGGTTTAGGTGTCGTGGGTCCAAAGAGGAAGAAGACAAACCAGGTTCCTGCCTTGTGGGACCTAACATCCAGCCGAGGAGTCAGACAGGCAAGAGGAGAAGCAGATCCAGGACCTGATGCCGGAGCTCACTGAGCGGCTGTGGTTTACAGGCCCTGTCCCAGCACACAGGAGCCGGCAGTGAACAGTCACCATGGTCTGCCCCAGTGCAGCTCCCTCCCCAGGGGGAAGCAGACGGTGAGCTCAGCACCAGGCACAGCCTAACCTTTCCCATGGGAACCAGGCCCAGGTTTACTGGGTTAAAATAGACATAATTACTATTTTAACCATTTTTTTTAAAAAGATTTATTTTGAAAGACTTAGAGGGGAAGAGAGAGAGAGAGAATTTTCCCTCGACCGGTTCACTTCCCAGATGGCCACAATGGCCAGGGCTGGGCCAGGCAGAAGCCAGGAGCCAGAAGCTTCATCTGGGTCTCCCACGTGGATGGCAGGGGCCCATACACTCGGGCCATCTTCCACTGCTTTTCCCAGGCACAGTAGCAGGGAGCTGGTTGGGAAGTGGAGCAGCCAGGACTCAGTCATCACCCATCGGGGACACCAGTGCTGCAGGTGGTGGCTTTACCGGCTACGCCACAACGTTGTCCCCTCCAGGGCTTTTTTTTTTTTTTTAACTCCAACTGGAACACTGTGCTCCTTCAGTGCTGACTCCCCTTTCGCCTTCCCCCACCCACTGGCAGCCACTGTTGTCCTTTCTGAGTCCAACTGCCGTATGTCCTTGTGGAAGGAGAATCAATTGTTTGTCTTATTTCATTAAGCATGAGCGTCCTTGAATCCATGTTGTCCCACACATCAGAATGTCTTTATAGACTCATAATATCCATTGTACAAACAAATCACATCTTATTTTTTTTAATTAATTAATTTATTTATTTGAGAGGTAGAGTTACAGAGAGAGAGGTCTTCCATCCGCTGGTTCACTCCCCAGATGACCACAACCGCCGGAGCTGGGCTGATCCGAAGCCAGGAGCCAGGAGCTTCCTCCAGGTCTCCCACATGGGTGCAGGGCCCCAAGCACTTAGACCATCTTCCACTGCTTTCGCAGCCCAAAAGCAGGGAGTTGGATTGGAAGTAAAGCAGCCAGTATTCAAACTGGCATCCACATGAGATGCTGGCACCGCAGGTGGAGGCTTAACCTACCGTGCCACAGTGCCAGTCCCACAGACCTCATCCCGCAACAGTTGCAAAGAAGAGCCCAGCACATGCAGCTGGAAAGGGACACACGAGGAGGGCTCTCTGTCTCTCCCTCCCCACCACCCAACACTTTCAAATGAATAAATAAATCTTTATTTATTTTTTAAAGATTTATTTATTTACTTGAAAGTCAGAGTTACACAGAGAAGGAGAGGCAGAGAGAGAGAGAGAGAGAGAGAGAGAGAGGAGTCTTCTATCCTCTGGTTCACTCCACAGTTGGCCCCAATGGCCAGAGCTGAGCTGATCTGAAGCCAGGAGCCAGGAGCTTCTTCCAGGTCTCCCACATGGGTGCAGGGGCCTCAAGGACTTGGGCCATCTTCTACTGCTTTCCCAGGCCATAGCAGAGAGCTGGATCAGAAGTGGAACGGCTGGGACTCGAACTGGTGTCCATATGGGATGCCAGCACTTGCAGGTGTCGGTTTTACCCACTATGCCACAGCACCGGCCCCAGTAAATCTTTAAAAAATAAGAGTAGGGAACAAGGGTTCTGATTCTGTTTCCTAGCCTTGATGTTCTGAAAGTGAGAAGAAAAGTCCGCCTCCCCCCTGCAGTGGGCTCTCAGGGATCAGCCAGGCGCTGGGGGAGGTGAGAGGGCCGGGATCCACTCCGAGGGCCCTGAGCCGTGGGTGAAAGAGCCAGGAACTGCTGATGTGGGTGCAGAGAAAGGGGTGAGCACTTGGGTGTCATGAAGAAGCCAGGGAGGTAGGGGCTGGACGAAGCAACCCCAAAGCCAGATTTGAGTTCCCTGGGGACCGAGCCCTGCCACAGTCACCCAGGGAGCGGGAATGTGGCATCGTGGGACCTCTCCTCCGGGCCTCTCGGCAGCGGCAGGCAAGTTATTTTCATGGCCTTTGCTTTTGAAAGTCTTGGCCAGCATCTAATATGTTGATTTAATCACCAAGCATTTTCTCTCACTTAAGAAGTCGAGTTTAATGAAACCTCACAACAGCCCCACTTTGGGTCCCGCTAACCAGTCCCAGCCATTTTGTGTCTCATCAGCACAAATGCTATTTAAACCCTGAAACTGAGTAGCCTGGCCTTGGTTTCTGTCCTGGTTCCCCAGGGAAGAGAAGCCAGGGACGGAGAAAGTTCCCACAGCCAGCCTGGCCGTGGCTCTGCCTGGCTCCCACGCTGCACGCTGAGTCCTGGATAGAACTCCCACTCCTCCCCCTGACCCCGCCAGGGCTCACACCCAGGTCCGGCCTTTCCTTCCTGAGACCCCTTTCCTGCCCCGCTGTGGGCTGAGATGAAGACAAAGCCACATGTAGAACCTGGGCCGTGGGAGTGACACACTTAGGGGTCAGTAGAATGTCCAGCTCTGGGCCCGGCGAGCCTCTGCTGTCCCTGCTCTGTCTGGTGGAACTGTGACAGTGGTCTTGCCTCACAGCCCCTCCTGGGGCTTTGTGCATTGTGACTTGAACAGAAGGACCTGTGGAGCAGTGAGGGTCCTGCCAGCCCGACACCCCGAGTCACGAAAGCAGGGCATTCTGGTCCTGGGAGCCCCACAGGGTAAGCCGAGCTCCGGCAGGTGGGTTCCAGACTGGAAGGGCAGCACTCAGACCCACCCAGGTCTTTGCCTTCTGGGCTTCTTCCTAGCCAAGGGGTTGCTGTGACCCCTGTTTAGGGCTCTGACAGTGTAGGGAAAGACATCGAATCTGTGATGACCTCACTTAGAAATATTAACTCTTAAATTACTCGTTTTAAGCACTCCCACTGTCTAGATGTTTCTGTGTCACTTCA